CAGTTATTATTTTTTAAAAATTTTAGAATTAGATTTTTGTTATTGGCAAATATATGAATTTTATTACAGTACAACATCAAAATTAGATCCTTGACAGCATAAAATAGATACAGACAAGCAACATTAAACAAAGAAGAAGAAAAGTTGGAACCTTTGATTATTACAGAACAGGCATATAAAGATTAGAACACAAGGCACACTAACAGTCTTAAATTAATAGCAGTCTTCCCCAGGAAATATCATGATTATAAATCACAGAGGGATTGGGATAGCACGCAAGGGATCGGCTTTCTGTAACATGAGCCCGAATTTTTCCTCCATATTCATGCTCTCTGGCGTGACTCCATCTTCAAGCTTCCAATCAAAGCAGTTTATGAGAGAACCCAACATTATATGCAACATTCTCAGTGACAGATCCAGTGCGGGACATAGCCGTTGCCCTCCAGCAAACGGAATCAGCTCAAAGTGCTTGCCTTTGACATCAATTTCAGACCCCAAGAATCTTTCCGGTATAAAAGAGCTTGGCATCTCCCAAATGCTAGGATCCCTGCCAATAGCCCATGCATTGACCAGCACCTGTGTGCCTTCTGGCACTGTAAAGCCACAGATTTCTACATCAGCTGCAGCTCTGCGAGGGAGCAACAGAGGAGCAGCTGGGTGCATCCGGAGGGTTTCTTTAATGATAGCTTGCAAGTATGGCAAGCAAGCAATGTCCGATTCCTGAACCTGCCTTGCCTTTCCGATGACTTTCTCTAACTCTGCCCTGGCTTTCCGTAAAATCTTTGGGTTGCAGAGTAATTCTGTCATTCCCCACTCTAATGTGCTTGTGGTCGTATCAGTTCCAGCCACAAATAAATCCTGCCACAACATCACATGACACGGAATCAGAAGCTTACATTAAAAAGGGAAGACATTTTTCTCAAACCCATTTTCAGAAGGCAATCTTGAAAAGGAAAAACGAAAAACTAAGATTAGAAGGTAGTAGTAATGTGAAAACAGTTTCAAATGATAGTTAACTTCAAGTGAAAGAGAGATACCAAAAACAAATGCATGACATGTATTCTGTTCAGCTCCTCTGTTTTGTTTTCAACAATGTCAATTAGAGTGTCCAAGAAATCATCATTTGTTGGAGAAGCTTGCCCTTTCCTTAGCTGCAACCGTTCGTCATACATACCTTCGAAAATCTCAAGCAACTTATCAGAATGAATGGCTATGATGTGCCTAACACCATGCGGATCAACCCTTCTAAGCAACGAAAAATAATCAGCCAAGTTTGGTTTTCCTAACGCCTCCACGAGAGCCCGTACAGTTTTCTTGAACTCTCGCGCCCTTTGTGAATTTGAGTCAGCCAAATCCACAGAGAACATTGTACTTGATATGTAATTGAGTGTGGCATTGAAAGCTGCTTGACCTATATCTACAACCTCACCAAGACGACTGCTTTCTTGAACCGTAGCAATGAGTTGTTCAATTTTCTTGTGCCGTAGGTACTGAGTGGCATCAAGTGTCTGACTACCCAACATATGTAAATCGCATACTTTCCGAAGATTTCTCCACAGTGGAGAAACGGGTATCCAAGGCATCCCCAGTTCGTGGTGTTGGCGGGCTCGGACTGCATCGATAATGATTCTATTATTGAAGATAAGGTCATTGGTTTGTAGGATTTCTCTGGCCATGGCTGCTGAAGAAATAACAACTGTGATTAAGTTGCCCAGTTTGAGACTCATTATGGGGCCATGAGTTTTGGCAAGCTCAGCCAGAGACTTGTGGGGTTTGTCACCAAGATCCAAGAGGTTTCCCAAGATTGGAATCCTCCGTGGACCAGGTGGAAGCTTACTGGAACTTGCTCTGCTTCTAGTACTTGTAATTGAACTACAAACTTGAACCAAGACATAGACACACATAAAGAAAAGAAGACATAGGAAGCAACTCACCAAGAACTTCATCTCTTGTCTGGTTGATCTCTCTTCCTCTTCCAAAATGAGAATTAATCTGAAGCACACGTAAGTAAGTTTCAGTAGTTACAAACAAGCGTGAAGATAAATGATTAACACATTTATTATGTGTGGTTCAGCCACGGTGAACCCAACAAGGGACGCGCCAGGAAATTTCGATTAGGGGGTAAAAATTATGGTTAAAGATTTGACCATTTAAAAGTATTTTAATGAGACTATTTTTTTTAAATCTTTTTTCTCTTGCCAAAAGATTCATTTGGGGTTTTTTTTATTAATATATTTTTAATAAAAATTAGAAATAAATATATTTAT